GGTTCCGGATCTGGCCTCAGGTTCGGGCTCAGGTTCTGCCTGATGGGTGTGGAGAGCCGCGTAGTACGTGGGAGAGAGGCGGGGATCTGTCACCTCAGCGCGAGCGGCCATTCCTGCCAGCCCGCAAGGCGGGATGGTAACCACCCTCGTGTGAGGTGGAGCGAGGGGGACCGGTGCGAGCTGCAGCATCGCCCTCATGCAGGCGATGGTGGCTTTACATGCTTGGACCTTTCCCAGGGGGTCACAGAAAGGGAAATCTGTGCTCTGAATGACGGCTGTTTGCCACCGCCCTGGCCAGCCTTGTCAGCAGGTTGCCACCATGGTACATGAAGTCAAGATGCCAACTTGCCCAGGTGGGGTGTCCAAACCGGCCTGGGAGAGTCCTGCTCCGTAAAGGAGAGGGCAAATACAGGGTGCAGCCCTGGCTCAGCTGACATTTCAAGTCAAGCCTGGAGGAAGCGAAGCCGCCATCCCTGCCGCTCCGCAGCAGCCTCTGCTTGAGCTGACAGCTGCATGCAGAGCTGGGCTGGGGAGTTGGCCCAGCTGAAAGTTAACCTGAAAAACTGGTTGACACATAATTTACTTCATTGTTCTGATGATCTTGCAGCCACACAGCCATCTGTGTTGCATGGTGAACCAGATATATGCCTCTTGCTGGCAAAAGGGAAGGGATGGGGTCAAAAAATGATTATTTTTACTGGGCAGGGAGGAAAGACTCTTTTTCTAGCAGTTTCAGTTTAAAAGAGTTTGTCTAACTATGCGTGGTTTGAAATCAGGATTGGCTTAAATTAATCTAAGACTGAGCTCCCACTATCAAAAGGGTTTTTGATCTCTGCCCTGTCTTCATTGGCATATTTTTACTGCTGCTCTTGCATCAGTTCTAGCAATCATGCAACCAAAGGGTGAGTCAGAGAAGCTTGAAAACTAATGCGAGAGAAAAAAACTGCAGGTCCTCAGATAAAGAAACAGCTGACCAACCACCAAGCTGATCCAACTCATCCCAAAACTGGTAGAGCAGTAACAGAAGCAGCTGGGAATACGCAGCTGGGAGAATCTAAGCAGCACAGCATTAGATCACCTTAAAAATAATTTTTAAAAAGCACTTTAAAGGGTATGGTTTTGTATGGTACCTGACTTGGTGTAGTGTGGCTGCTACCAAAAGAGGTTGTCCTGCTTTGTTCCTTTCTGACTGTGACTATCTGCTGCTGCTACTTTCTTCACAAACAGTGGTGCTCATCTGACCTCATGGGGAGCCATTAAGAAAGACAAATGGGTAGAGAATTTAATTAACCCCTTCTCCAAATGTGAAATGACCAGGATCCTTCTCCCTTGCTGTCCATTAGATCAGTTCAGCGGCAGAAGTCCACTTGGACTCCAGCGGGTAAAAGGGATTTAGACTCAGATCAAATTAGTTCAAAAGGATTTCGTTTGCTGCTAAATATGACCATGCTGCTGAGCATCAAAATGTTATTACAACATAGCTGAGAGACATGACACAGCTGAAGATCTCCAGCTTAGGTCACACACAATATATATCCGAGTGAACATCTGGGCAGATAGTGCAAATAATCGAACTTTAAAAAGTTGCCAGGTGTTGAAGCCTTGCTTGGAATTCATGATACAAATCTAATCAATAATGACCAATAGATCTTGTCAACTTAACAGCTGGCTCTGCCAGGCAGTATTGATGATCTCCTAAAAGCACATAAAGGTGAGCAGAACTACAGTTATTTTAGGAATCATCATCTCAAGAGTGGTTCCTTCATGTAGAAATGTCATGTACAGGCTTCCAAAAAGAAGATCAGAATATTTTCAGTCATCAGAAAAAAAAAAAGTGGGAAATGCAAGGATCTCTTAAGTAATAATAATATTCAAAGCAGACAAGAATTTAACCCCTCAAAAAAGTTAATTGTTGCTTCAAACAGGCAGGCTTAGTATGTCTTATTCATGACACAGTGATCACACTAGCTAGGTCACTATGAAAAACAAAGCAGGCCACTTTGGTAAAAGGATTGCAAATGTTACTGGAACCACAGCAGGCCATCTGTCACTGAAGAAATGAGTGTGATCCAAAGAATAAACAAAGTTGCCACGTACCTGGTTATCAGCAGTACATGATGGTGCAGAAAATCAAAGAATTGGTGTAGTGTTTAACATTTACCAGGAAACATCAATAAAAGCTGCTGAGAGATTCTGCAGAGAATCCAAGACAAATATTCATTTCAAAAACACAGCTGCAAGTCACAAGAACACTATTGTGCAGCCCCATCAACAGTCCTCACCAAGTACTTGGTTAAGGAATGGGAAAAAGAGATTACACAGTTAAGCCTCATGAAGAAGTTCTCTGTACCACTTGTAAATTCTGTTTCAAGCTAACCAAAGATCATAGTTCTGAAGTTGTCCCATGAGGATGCCCATAGATGTATTATTTTTGTTCGTATGTACTACACAGTCAGTAAGAAGTCAGTCAGAATCATTACTGAATCCTTTATTTACATCTCCCAAATGGAAGACAACTTGGAAAGCACATACGAGCAAAACTGACTATTAATAAAATAATGTGGTCCTGTGAGATCAATTTATGTAGAATATAAGTTGTTCCTGCGACTTTTCAGGATGCAGCATCAATAGTGCTTTTGCTGGCAGAAGAAAGCTGCAGCCTTAAGACTTATGCCATGTGAGTTATCAACAAATCTTTTCTATGCTTGAATTTGCATACCATCTGCTACTTCCCAAAAAGTGCAACAACTGATATCAGTGAATGCATTTACCAACTCTTCTGAGTCAAAGAAAAAATAATGGTAACTACACCCATATTCTATCATGCAAAATGTCTCTTCTAACATGCACTACTTGCAGAGGCAAGCACACAGGAGGCCATGTCTGCAAAGTCTATCAATGATAGCAGGTCTGTCACGTCTTACTTGGCCTACTGATGCCAAAAAGAATTTAGATATTTAGTGGGTGACTGGTTTAAAAGTATCAAAAGCTCTGCAACGTGTCATTTTTTACTGAATCCGTGAATGTGTATGGATTACTAGCAGGCACAAATATACCAAGATATGCAAGCTGCACAACTGAACAATTCAAAAGATTGATGTTGAGAATTACATGCAAGATCCTTTAAGACAGCAGAGAGAGAAGAAAATTATGATGTTGGAAATACATTTCTGTGACTTATATGGGATTTAATAGACATTTAATCTGCTTTCAGCATGAGAAAATACTGTTTATGGTACATTTTTTCAGCAATATAATTTCTTAGTTCCTTATTTGTATTAGGAATCTCTTCTTTACCACTACATACATTTAACACTAAATTACATGTGATAATCCATTGTGATAAGTATTACAAAATGAAAGCGTATTATCTAAGCAATTAAGCCTCTACTAAACTGGAATATGTTTCATATAGCTTTTTTTCTCTCATCCATCGCCAAGAGGGAAAGCACGTGAAAAAAAAGAAATGTTTTCATTATTTTGGTGTCTTGTTACTTTAAAATACATATTTTTAAATGCAAACATTTGCAGTAAACAAGGTAAAAGAAATCTGCTTTGCAGTTGGCAATAGATGAGAGTGAACTCTGTTGTGTCTTTGGATTAATCTGTTTTGCTGTTTGCAGTCAGTCTCTGTGAAAATTGTGTCCTGCACAGACTAACCACTGTAGAGAAGAGCACTGTTTTATTCAATAACAGCTCTTATCTTGAAACTTTGTATCTATCCTGGAAACTGTGCTCTCTAAAGATTATGAACTTGATTTAAATTCAATGTAAAAATTGTTTTTGTAGGCCTACAAATAGTCAGTGTTTCTAAGAGACATTTACAGCATCTTGCACTTGTCAAATCTCCCTAAATATGCAAGCCATCTCATTCATGTATACAATGCACTGTAATCCAGCTGGGGAGTGACAAAGCTGTGAAGAAGGAAGGTCTCGTTTTTGTCCAGCAACCAATTAAGGTTTGTTATGAAACTCAAAATCCTAGATGGTGACGACTGTCTGTGATGCAGTGTGAGAATTTAGTGTCATCAAAAAGACCCAAAACACCCCTAAGCTTGTGTGTTTGTAACTTAAGCAGTAGAGGCTTTAAGTGTGTAAGTGCTGCAAAATTACATTCTCTGCTTATCAGAATCACCTCCTTTGTTCAGCTGGTTTTCAATGTGAAAGTCATCTCGGTGGCAGTGCTGCGGTAAGATGGGGTTACTGAGTGGTATTTCAGCTCAAGCAACCTGTAGCTGCCATGAGCAACAGCTAACAGGCAGTCAGCCCTGCAAATTAACAACAAAAGTAGCTGCTATTGTTGCCATTAAGGCTTCCTAAGAAGAACAAGAGATAAGGAAAACTGAGAAAAATGTCCTTGGAAAGATAAGGCGTGGACTTTAACAGCCAAGGGAGGAAAAGCAACATTTATGGGAAATGGAAGCGCCATCATATTAAATAATGCATTGAAAAAGTTTTACAAGGTGTCCAGAATAAAATGATTCTGAACATTTTGAATGTAAAAGAGAGAGATTTGCATGGACCTCTGAAGTTTATCCTTGGTGCCTCAGTCTCCCAGAGCATCTGGTGAGATCTTTTTAAGGGCAACTACATGTCCTGGTTTAGCTGGGCATAGTTGTGTATGTATTAAGTAGAGATTGTTTGTTAGAGGATGAGCTGTGTCTTGACCATGCAACTACCTATGTTTAGCATTTTGGCAGCAGCAGAATTTTTGCTCCTGTGTTTTTTGCTTGCTGGTACTCACATTTGTTGTGTGAAAAAGGACTGGGGAGAGAATTGATTCTGCTAGAAACCCACAAGCTAAGAACATTCTGATAAAGTTTTTTTGTTGTTGTTGTATTGATGTATGTCTCAAAAAAGGGACTAAAAACCTCTTATCACATTGCACATTTTCTTATTGCCTTTCTCACTTGAAACAGTCCTATCTCAAAATAAACATGTTGCTGCAGAGCTTCAGAAGAAAAACGGCTTTTTGCTGCCCAACCGCAGGAGGAGATTCTCCATCAGTGCCACAAGTGTAATTTCAGTTCCATGGCCCGAATGACTGACTCCAAATTGTTTTAGATGAAGCATTAAAGTTTGAGATAGATGATGTTCTAATTGGCCTTTTTATAAGCCTTTCTATGAGCTCACTGGAGCACAGGAGATTTGGATACTAGATGGCACAGGCCACTCGTTCAGTGCTAGGTGTAAATTTAAAGGAGGGAGAGCTTCCTTCTCTGAAATATGCACTGGTTTCATTTCATTGCATTATTATGGTCTGTTTGTTCATGTCTTTTTTTATTTTTTTTCAAGGCAAAAAGGGCATAAGCTATATTCTCAAATTTTAAACATCAATCCGGCATCCAGAACATCTTCATAACTGGGAACTGGAAGACTGGTGAATGGATGTAAGCTATGCACGGTTTAAGAAAACCTCCCCCTGCAATCATTTCATCAAAGTGGTATGATTTTTTTTTTTTTTTTGCTATACATTTTGTAACCTTAAAGGCAAAGAGGAGAGGCACTGGCTGAGGAGAAGGGGGATTTATTGCTATGACACCTGTATTTTTATGTCATTATCATATGTAGTTTACCATTTCGCCACACATAGAAGCTAATTCATCATAAAAATAGTCAGTTCTTAGGCCATGCTCTTGGGTTCCTGCTCTTGCAGTTTACCTGAAATATTATATTCTGAACTAATATATACTTATCAGTAATCATTTAGTCAAATATGCACATTGCTCTCACATTTGTTATCCTTTTCCTCTTGCTTTCTATGGCCAAGTGCTATTAACTAACATGATTTATGTCATTTCCCAGTAACTGGTGAGTAGATTAAATGCCAACTGATAATTTATATGCTGTTGTTTTTCCTTTATTTTCTTGAATAGGACTAAGCAGCTAAAATCAGCTACAGGCTACGTATGTACTAAGTGTTATTTTCTTTCCCATTTCTTCCCTCAACAATGATAAAATCCCTAATTAAAGATATGGCAGAATATAAAATAGAGATCAATCTGATCTCTTTTGAGGGCAATTACTTTCAATTTTAAAACACTAGCTTTCTGATTGATTATTTGATATAGAACGAGACATTTGAAAGCTGTGGTAGCATGCTGGATATTTTTTTTCTTAAAAATCAGCTAACTGAAACTTGACTAACTGTAATGTCTAAGTATGTTCAAAGTCTCTACTTGTATCTAAACCCGAGAGCTGGACTTAAAAAACAGGACCACTCTTGCACCATATGAAAAAAAAAAAAAGGCCATACACGGAAGCCTAAAATAATTTTTCAACTTTTATTTGTATTTTAATTTAAAGAGAAAAAAAAATCCTAATTAGGAATTGAAGAAGGTGTCAGATACTCCTCCACTTTCATGTTTGGGGTTTTATAGTTTTTCAGAGAGAACAAAAATCTAAAATAAGCCAGCCTGATCTAACTTAGTGATTTCCTGAGATAGGTACTGGTTTGCATTCTTGGTTTTTATTATTATTGTTGTTGTTGATTAGTTAAACGTGTAATTCATGGAAAATTTAAAACAAAATACCTGTTCTTTTACAACAAACTTACTGAATGAGTTTAACTACTCCACCCAAATACTTCTTGAAGATGCCATACATGATATATATGATTATATATATCAGTGTATATGCACTGATATGCACACTTTTTTTTCAGTACAGCAAGTATATGCTTGCATAGAGTGTATTTGTATTTGCTGTATTAGCCCCATCTGGTGAATTCTCCCTGCACTGCAAACTGCAGACTTCATGCTGAGCTCCTGCCTCCAGTCCCTTTAGTAGGGCGCACACCCTTCTTCTCTCATGCATCTGCCATAGCAAACACTGAGGAGAAATCCTCATCAGTGTACTATTTCCATAGTTTCTAAGTTTATCTTCTGTTTTAGTGTATTCATTTTGCAGCTTTGAGTGGTACTGTCTTCATTTGCACTCAGAAATATAAACACTCTTATAATTTACTTTGTTCACAAACACGACTTACCTCCATTTCTGATCTTGGGAGTTCTTTGCACTGCGGAAATCTGTGATGGAGCAGAATC